TCCCTGCAGCCTTCTCTTCTCCAAGCTAAACAAGCCCAGTTCCCTCACCCTTTCCTCATAGGAGAGGTGCTCCAGCCCTCTGACCATCTTAGTGGTCTTGTTCCAAGCTGGTGGGAGCTGGGTGGATGGTGAGGCAGCTGACAGGAGAGGCTCTGTTGGCTTCTCAGTTGTCTGAGTGCAGCTATCCCAGCAATGCAGATGTATTTAACTAGAGAGCAGCTAACACTTTGGCATTTGCTGTTTGCTTCTCTGCATCTCTGTCTGGGTCTCTTTGGTTGCATCAGAAGCAGTCATTCGTGCCTGATGTGTATTGATGCATTCAGCAGCTCTGTGTGTGCATTGTGTTTTACATTGATCCTCTCCCACAGTTAATGACTTTGTAATTAATGGCCTGGGTGTCTGATGCTAGGGGTCTGAGAGACAGGCAGGTAATTTGTCCACCCTAAGTAATTTGGCTGCCTTGCTTATGGAGTTGGTTGGCTGTAGCTAGCCCCTCTTTGCCCTCTATCTGGTCAGGTGGCACATTTTTCTGTTTCACTCCCAATCACAAGTTTCTATGGATGTGGACTGAACCCTTTGTGCATGTAAACAAAATAAAGCCAAGCTTATGGGAAGTGGCTGGAAACCCCCTGGGTGGTTTGTTTGGGGTTAGCACCTTGCTGTTCATCTGCTCTGACGGGTGGACAAGGGGCATTGAGGAAACACCTTTCCTATTGTACCCAGGATCAAAGTGACCCCATTTGTCCAGGCTCTCTGCACTGCCTCTGCTTCCTGGCTCCTGAACAAGGCACAGCATGCTCTGTGCCCACACCTGGCTGCCCCTGATGCTGCTTTTGGATCTGCTTATTTATTTTTCATCAGCAGATGTTAAGCTGGCAGACACGGAGGTTGGGAAAATCAGGAGGTGTTTGCACAGGGGGAGGAGAGTGGGGACATTTTTGATGATATCAGCAGGATGGAGAGGAGGTGGAAAAGGTAACAGAGTCTCATCTGGCCCAGTGCTCAAATGAGTATTGGAGAGGAACTGTGCAGTGTGAGTTCTGGGGCTTCCAGAATCTGCTCAGGAAGATTTCTGTCTGAAGCAAATGGATTTAAGCAAGTTCCCATGCAGATCAGGGTGCAATCGCAGAGTTTAGGAACACGTGGTGGTGGGTTAGCTTATGAACACAGCTCCAGCAAACTCCTTTGCAGGTTCTGGATGCCCTGAATGCCTCAATAGACCTCATAGTGTGCTGTGTGGGTGCAGATCTGGCAGCGCAGACCCAAAGGAGAAATAACAGCTCTTTGTGAACAGCATTTACAAAGCTTCCCTGCTCTGGGAGAGGCGTTTTTCCTAAGATAGAAGGGAGCAATTGAAATAAGGAGTGTCATAACTCATCCACAGCCAGCAGTGAGAATCAGGAGTGTAACCCCTGAGCTGTGCCTTCTCCTTGGACGCTCTGCTAGGGCTAGATTTGCAATGGTGCCTTTCAGACTGTATGCAGACACCCATGAGCTGGGCCACGATGGGATGCAAGTTTGATAGCTGCACAGGCAGAGCAGCGGTGTGAAGGTCGGTGGCTGCCATAAGGGAAGCACGAGTGGGCACGTGCTGGGTGCAGCTGTGGGGATGCTCCTGGCCTTAGCGTGCTCCTTGCTGCCTTATTTTTTGGCCTATCAGCTGCACTTGGCTCAGGAAATGTCTCAAGTGAATACGTTTTTTTGTATATGCAGCACGTGCCTCTTTGTCTGTTCTCCCCACGAGGGAGACAGGGTGATACCCTCCCCCCCTTCCTTGCTGAGTTCTCTAGCTGTCTGTGTTCCTTCTCCTCGCCGTTTAGGCAAGTTAAAAATAATTATGGTTAACTGCTTTCTGCAATAGAAGATTACTGCACTATTAAAACTGGAGGGGACACGACTGGGGTGCCAATGAACGTTCTCACAGGAAGGGTCTGAACATGCAGCGCATAGACCGAAATAGGGCCCTCCTGCTGGAAGGCCCCAGGTGACCCATTGCTCACTGGCGCAATTACCAGAGTCTTGGCAGCTGGCAAGATCAGCAAATGGGGTTTCTGTCAGAGCTTGTTACCTTAATTTGGTTAATTGTAGAGCAGAGTGCGGTTGAGCAGCCAGTTCAAACCAGGTTTCAGAGCACCAGGGTGCCAGGCACGGGCAGGGCACTGCCTGCTCCCAGCAGCTGGCGGTGGGATGGAATGGATGCAGGAGCTGAGGGGATGAGCAGAGCACACCCCTGCCTGCAGCCTGGGATGGGTTTGCTCACAAAGCCCTTGCACAGCCGTTGCCATGCTTGGCAATCTCAGCTGCAAATTTGTACCCGTTGATTTGATCCCAGGTCTGCTTAGAGGCTTGAGTTTGGGCTGGAAAGGGCAAGATGGAGTGTCTGTCTGGAGCAGAAGTTCATCCCTCTGTTTTGAACAGGGTGGGAAAGTGTCTGTGATAGAGGAAGGAGGTAAGAAGGACTGAGCTGCACCACCCAGCCCAGTATCTCCAGTCTCCAGCCATGGCCCAAGAGCAGTCACCTGTGGGTGAACCTAAGAACATGGAGGCTCTTCTGGCACCTTTTTCAGCCTCCAGATCTTCTGCAGCAAATGTAGATTGATGGATTTCTCTTCCAAGAGTGAGTCCAACAGCTGCTTGAACCTCTGACTAGTTGGTGATGGGGTGGCTCTGTTAGCAAAGTCAGCTCTGGGTGGGTGCAGTCGGAGCTCACCTGCTGTCTTTTAAAGCTTAGCCCACCTAGAAAGACAGCTGGCATCCCTTTCTGGCAGTCTATGGTTGGTTGGTTTCACCCCAAGATGTGGTGCTGGCTGTGTCTATGACCACACTGCTATGAGGCACAAGTCAGTTACTGTCTCTGGCAGGGCAGGATGGAGCTTTGAAAGGACAGCTCTGAGCTGAGATGTCATCTTCAGAGTGGACTTGTTCAGAAGCCCAGGAATAAACCTGCCATTCCCTGCTGCTTCGTGATGCTGCATTCAGCTGTGCTCTTCTCCCCTTCTGGGCAGCTGTGCCAGCTCAGCCCTTCCCTGATGGCACCACACACAGCCTGGGGAGGCTGGGGAGACACAGAGTGAAACCTGCAGGTGTGGCAGAAGAGCAAATGTGAGAACAGAAGGTCAGCAGGTCTTTGGGAGCAGACATCCTAAGGGCTGTTTGAAATGCCCACAGAGCTCTCCTACACCATCAGCATGTGATTCCAGCAACTAATTAAAATCCCTGTAAAACTGTCGCTTATTCCCATAACAAAAGACCTGGAAAGAACTAGGCTGGTAATTATTCAGGAGGTGCTGAAAATAAACTAAGGAGAGCTGAGGCTGTGGGATGGAAGGAGCAGAATGTGATGCCATGCACACCCACCTCAGCTCCATTGTTCAGATCCAGGCCAGGGCATTAATGCTACATTAAGATGATGTGACTGAACTCATAAGCCAAGAATTAAGGTTAAACTTTGCAGCATTGCATCAGTCTGCGTTTCCACACAGCTCTCCTGTTTCAGTTCCTCGTTTCATTCAGGAACAGGCAGCTGGGCCCTGCTTTGTAGCCTCCGTCAGCTTGGTTAATTGTAATTATTGTTGGCTGATGCTAGACAAGTCACAGCACTGCCTGATCTCTTTGCTTCCCTTTTTTCCTCTGCCCCCCTGCCCTGCTTTTGTACTTGTTTTTGTAATGCTGCTCCCAGCAGCAGATGTGTAGCAAAAGAGGGTGCTGAGCTCTGGGTGGGACTCAGCAGGAGGGAGAAATGGGCAATGGCTGGGATGGAAAGGATGGAGCAAGGGATGCAATGCTCCCACATATAGGACAGCTCTGTGTCACAGCTTCACATCACTGGCATGGGTTTGGAGCAGTCTCTAGCAACATGCCACAAAGGGAAGCACCCCCAGCAGACCAGAGCCTGGCCCTTTCTCTCTGCTGGGAACGTAGTGCTGTATGTTTAAAGGTCCCTGAAGGCATCCTTGTTTTATCTGCCCTCACAAACAGAGCTATTGGTGGCACTTCCAGTGTGAAACTTCCCAGTGTAAGGGGGGAAGAAAATACTGCAAGAGTTAAAAAAAACTCCTCTTGTTGTTTGTACCCTGTTTTTTCCCCACCTGCAGGGCTGGGCACCCCATGCTGAAAGCAGAAGAGATAAGCTGCAGGCGCTGCTGACTGCCACGTGATGCAGTGGCTTGGGCGATTAGCAAAGATCTGTGCCCTAAGAGGAATCACATGGGCTGATGGGGGCTCCCTGCGTGCAGCCAGGGCTCTGTGGCTGCAGTCTGGATGCAGTTTATGGTGCTGAGCCCTGCTTGCTCCCCTTCCTTCCTCACCGAGGGCACCAAAGGGAGCGTGACTTCGCCAACGGGGCAAGCACAGAGCCTCCACATCAAAAGGCAGGGAACAAAACAGCTGCAGAGTGTTGTGAAGCAAAATAAATAAACCCTTGGCTGCACTGGGGGAGTTGTGACCAAGTATACAATCGAGTCCTCTATTAATGGCTTCTTGTTTCAAAAGCCAGCTCCATAACAGGAACTTTGGATCCTCGAGCCCTAAAGGAGCTAACTTCTGATATTCAAGCCCTAAAAAAGCTAACTTCCCACAATCAAAGCCATTGCCACAACCCTCTGCTTTATCAGGTGGAACTGGAGGAAATCCTGGGGTTTTTATCGAACGAAAGCAGCCTTCAGTTGAGAGAACAATGCAAGCATGTCTGTTTGCTTAGCATCTTCCAGCAGGAAGGCCCCCAGAGTGTTTTCTTCATGGGGAGATAGCTGGGAGATTACCTTGGTGATAGCACGTTGCTGTGTGAGAAAGTCTGACTGCTTGCTAATGGCCTGCTGCTCAACATGGCAGATCTGGGCCCGATTATTTGGTGCATTACCCCAACTGAATCAAGCACTGTAAAACTGGAGGAGTCAGCGCAATCTGAGTGGGTGCAGGTGCTCTCCAACACAGCACCAGAGTGCAGCAGTGGGATCATCAGGTGTCTGGCATCAATCCTTTCCTCTTGTTTTCCTCTGTAGGTGATGTGACGAGCTTGACTCCTGAGCACTCCTTTGAAAACACAAAAGTGGGCGTGGGGAACATCGTGCTGGCCTTGTACAGTGGTCTTTTTGCCTATGGAGGATGGTAAGACGCAGCCCTCTTCCTTTTCTTAGTGTTAAATGCTCCAGTTTGTTCCACTTGTCCCTAGGCTGTGTTTGCAGGAGCATCATCCAGGACCTTCCCACTCTCTGTTGTTACTAGGGCAGTGAGGCAGATGGATGCTCTGGGTTCCCCTAGTAATGTCAGTAGTTGTTCTTCACGTGCAATTTCCAGCCACTTTACTGCAGCAGAAAGGCAGCAGATGATGGATTGTTTGAGTTCTCTCCTGAGAAGAAAGCAGGAGGGTGGAATCCCTTAGCAGACACTGACTGCATGCTAACAGATGAGTTTAGGTATGGCAAAGCGGGGAGGCTGCCGTGTCCATCCGTGGCAGCACCAAACTCCTGGAGGACATCACTATCAGCCCCTTTGAGCACCGAGCAGCCCAAGGAGCTGCTCAAATTGCAGTGAAAGCCATCGCACTGCCCAGAGGCTGACCCTGCCACCAGCCCTGAGCCTGCAGCCAGCTCTCCTTTCCTCTTGCAGGGCAGCTGGCAGCGTGGTGCAAATTACAGCAGCCAGGGCTTGCATTTCTGCAGGTTTGCAACTAGGCATCACCCACTGCCAGTTTAACAGCAAGATCTGGATTCTATCCCACCTAAAACTCCCTTGTAGACAGATAGGGGTGAAGGGCTTTATTTACTAACCTGAGTTCATTGCTGTTCTTTTCACGTTACAGGAATTACTTGAATTTTGTTACAGAAGAGATGATAAATCCCTACAGGTGGGTGACTTCCCTGGAAGGGAAACTTCGTGCCTGTCCCTGTTATGTGTTATTATGGGTTGTTCATCAGCCCAGAAGCTTAAGTCCCTCTTTCTAGGGAAACAGGCTAATGGCATTGTTCTGCCTTGGATTAAGGGAAGGGGAATTATAATCACTGTCTGAGAAGGGCTGTTGCTTACACTGGATTCCCGTGCTGCTGATATTATCTGCGTTGTTGGAGAGTCCTATTTCCTTGGCATGGCACCCCTCTGAATTATAGGCAAGGAAGAGGCACTTACAGCTTTATTGCTTTATTGTGTAAACTCCCACAACAATGTGCAGGCATGCATTTGTCATGTGCTCTTCCTGTTCTGTCGAGAGCAACGGGCTGCTTTCTGCACTGCTCGTGCCATTCAGGGCAGTGCCAAGGGAGCTGGAGAGGTGAGGATGGGCTGCACCAAAGCAGAGCATCGCTGATAGATCCATTCTGCCTGTAGGGAAGGTGCAGCCCTCCCATCAGCACAGGCTTTGGGATCAGAGCCTGCTCCTGGCTGGCCCCAGTGGAGATTAGTGCCTGCTGGGAGCTAAGATTGGTGTGCTCTTTTCTTGACTAACGCAGTTAAAGGAAGTTTTTGCAGTCTGCAGTAATTTTCTTGTCTTCTGGATGCAGCCATGGCATTTGAGTCTCGCCACCTGTGACTTTGGACCAACTATATGGGGAAATCAAGCAGGGTTTCCTCTTTCAGTTTCTGCTTACAGATGAGGTTAGGCTGCTGGGAAAGGCACGTTTGTACCAATGCAGCCTCAGTCTTGCAGCTCCACTCAACCCATGCCTGAACTCATTTTCTCTGAGTTCAACCAGCTGCATAGAATTAGAGCTTAAAAACAGCCAACTCAACCCCTGCTCTTTCCATCCCCCACAAAAAAGCCACCAGCACAAATGCACATCCGTTGTCCAAAGAGGATGACAGTGCTGATGCTACAGCTACCAAGAGCCGTGAGGTTTTAGTTTTACTTGATTGCTGTGACGGTGACCGTGGATTACTGCCTGCCCAGACAGCCAGAGTCTCCCTCTGTAAGAAAACCCCCTTCTGCCATCATCCTTCACTCTGTCAGCACCAGGCTGTTCCCATTTTCTGGAGGAAAGCAGTGTGACAGATTCTATGTATGCTGGAGAGCCACGGAGGAGCAGAACAGCTCCTGCCAGCTCGAAGTGAGTGCAGGAGGGCTGCAGCGTGAGCCTTCAGCTCGCCCTGTCAGCAGCTGTCTCCTGAGCTCGAGCTGCCTTACAATTGATGTTTTCTTCCTAGAAACCTGCCTCTGGCTATCATCATCTCACTACCTGTAGTCACTTTGGTTTATGTGCTGACAAACTTGGCTTACTTCACAACCCTGTCCACGGAGCAGATGCTGACGTCCGAAGCTGTGGCAGTGGTAGGTGCATTTCTGATGTGACTCATCTGGCTTCCAGGGCTGGTTAAATTGAACTTACAATCTCTGCATACATCTCCTACTTTGTCCCTCGTTGACGGTGGCTGCATGTAAAATAAATAAATAAGCTGTTGTTTGACGGGAAATAAAGAGCAACTGTGACGGAGCAGGGAAGAATAGCATGATACCAGGGGGATTAATCACAGATGGGGGAAGGGGGGTCAGTTAACACTGCTCTTCGTTCAGAAATAGCCCAGGTTGCTGCTGCTGGCCCCATGACTTATCATCAGTTACCGGAACGTGATATTTATGGGAAAAGGTCATTCAGACAATAGTGGACTGAACTGTTCTCTCTCTCTGTATCTTCCTTGTTACAATTAAGAAAGCAAAAAGAATACCTCCATTAATTAAAATGTCACGGAGGTCAGCAATCTGATTGCTTCAGAAATGAGTGGTGTGGCATGACTTTGCAAAACTGTGTGACCAGGATTGTTTGGTGCTTTAGGGGGAATCTCCTGACCCAGGATGGTCTGCGTGGACCATCAGGTGACAGCTCCATCCTTTGGTCAGCACAGAGCTCCAGCCTGCAAGCCACTGTGTGGCAGCAGGGTTGAAACTAGGTGATCATTATGGTCCTTTTCAACCCAGGCCATTCTATGATCCTATGACTATATGAAACAGCAGCCTGCATTGCGTTTCTCTAATTGTGTTCCTTTGCATGTCTGTCAAAGTCGACATGCCTTGATGGCGTGGGACTGCAGTGTGAGTGAGTTTGTAATTCAAAGCTACGACTCCATGTCACTGTGTTTGTAAGGGGCTGTGTTTCAGTGTCCTCACTCAGCTCCATGCCTGCAATTAGCAACATCTGAATGGCTGAACCTACTTCCATTTGGCTGCGAGCTTTTGGGTAACCGTTCCAATCAATCTGGCCTCTCAGTTCTCAGGGAAAGAGTTAGCTGCTCAGATTACTGCAAACGTTACAGCTTTGTAGGCAGCTATGAGTTCTCTTGGGCATTTGGGTGTGATGTACTGTTCTTGTTGACCCCATTTAGGACTTTGGGAATTATCACCTTGGTGTCATGTCCTGGATCATACCTGTCTTTGTGGGCTTATCGTGCTTTGGATCCGTTAATGGATCCCTCTTCACCTCTTCCCGGTACGTTTCTTGCTGAGTTTTGGGCTTTGTTTCTTGCTTTGTTTACAAGCAGTGCTCGATGCCTGTGGGTTTGGAACAGTTGTCCTCCCCAGAGCAGCTGTGGGTGGACACAAAATCTGAAGGGTCTGGAGGCCATGTGGGGAATGATAGAAACAAAAATAAAACCATATCTGATTTAAAAAGAGAGCCTGCAGTCATCCGAGTCTTCTGTTCCTCAAGCAAAGTCCTGTTGAAGTTAATTAGAACATAAACAAACAGGCTTGGAGCTCATTGGCATTGCCTGAGAAAGTGGGTGTAATGAAAACCAGAAACTTACGAAACTTCAAGGCTGAGAACTCCTCCAGAGCGAGGAGAAAGGATGGGGGCAGGACACGGGCTGAGGGGGCTCAGGTCTGATGCATCTCCCCCAGGTTATCTTAGGAAAGTCACTTAACTGTTTGCTCTGGAAAGAAGGACATAAATACATCTTTCTGGGCCATCCCTACCCAGAAGACAAACCCCAGCCCAGAGCTGGAGGTTGCGGTGCTGATAGCTGCTCTGTGTCCCTCAGGCTGTTCTTCGTTGGATCCCGAGAAGGACACCTACCTTCCATTCTCTCCATGATTCACCCGAGGCTTCTCACTCCTGTACCATCCCTCGTCTTTACGGTGAGCCCTGGGATGTGATGGGGAGCATCAGCCTGGTATTGAGAAAAGGGTCGGGGATGGGATCCCAATGAATCATTTGGAGAAGGACTCCAAGTGCAGCCATTTCTGCTTGCTGCTGTGAGAGGGGATAGGTCCTTCTTCTCTTCATATCTTATATTCAGTGGTTTAGCATTAAACGTGGAGGTTGGTGGCCCTGCATGTGGCAGGGGGGTTGGAGATTCATGATCCTTGAGGTCCCTTCCAACCCTGGCCATTCTGTGATTCTGCATGATTCTGCAATTCCACTTCTGTTTAGTAATCATTCCAAGCACCATTTGAAAATAGCTTAAATGAGTAAAAAAATGATCAACCTGATTCTCTTCTTGGCAGACAACTCTCACGTTCGTTGCTTTCATACAAGAGGTTTTGCCTACCTTTCCCTTTGCTAACGGCTTTATTTTTTTCTGGATGCAGTGTGTCATGACCCTGCTCTACGCCTTCTCCAATGACATTTTCTCAGTCATCAACTTCTTCAGCTTCTTCAACTGGCTGTGTGTGGCCTTGGCCATCATAGGCATGATGTGGCTGCGTTACAAGAAGCCTGAGCTGGAAAGGCCCATCAAGGTATGAGCAGTGCAGGAACTGTTTCAGGTCTTCCCAGTGCTGGGCTTTTTCATTTGTGCTCAGAGAAAACATAGGGAATAGCTCCTTCAAACCTGCCAGAGGCTTCACCTGCTTTTCCTGTACGGAAAAGGGAGTGGAATTGGAAATGTATTGCCACCAGGAGAAAAGCTATGGAAGCATGAGCTGTGTAGTTAACGCTGGTGTCCCAGATACATCAAAATCTGCCAAAAGAGTGCACAGAGCAAGGGAGCAAGGGAGCAAGGGAGAAAACCCTTTGTCCACTGGGTGCACTCGCTATTCAGGAGGTGAGGAGCTGTTGTGACTGTGAGAGCCTGGGGATGAAGGATGCTCTGGGTGGCAGAGATGTGGGGTGGCCCAGCACAGAGCTCTCAGTGACCAGCATGCTCCCCAGGCTGTGGCTCTCAGTGAAACGCTCTGTACCATCGTGGAATTCACTTAAAATGATTTAATAAAGTAGACAAACCCACGCCTGCAGAGATGAGAACTCTGTTCTATTTGTCCTTGGCCAGCTTGGCAGCGCAGCATCCCGGCTGGGAGGAGGCCAAGACCATGTCAGCCACAAGCATGTCTGCCTTCCTTATGGGCATGTTTCTCACTCATCCCCCAGAGCACACTCAGGTCTCTGCCAGGCAACAGGGGGCCAGAGAGAAACAAACTCTCAGACCTGTACTGACGCCTTCCCAGAGTAACTCTTTCTATGGCTTGTGCTGCGTCTGCTGCTGCATTTGATGCTGTCAGTTCAGATGTTTTTTACAAGGAATCATTCAAGAATGGTTTTCCCTCTTCCCCTGCTGTAAGTTCTTACCCATTCTTTGGTCTGTGTTTAGGTGAACATCTGCCTGCCCATTTTCTTCATCCTGGCTTGCTTGTTTCTCATTGCTGTTTCCTTCTGGATGACACCAAAGGAATGCGGGATCGGCTTTGCCATCATCTTCAGCGGGATTCCTTTTTATTTGTTTGGGGTCTGGTGGCAAAACAAGCCCAAGTGGATTCTCCAGGGCATCTGTAAGTATTGCCAGAGCAGAGCAGGGGTGCAGCAGTGCCTCTGGTGAGCATGCTGCAGCTAGCAGCGCTGGCTCTTGTTTGTGCAGTGAGGACTCCCAAAGCCTTGGCTCTGATCGATGCTTTGAGCGCCAACAAGTTTTAGCTTGACGATTACCTTATCTATCAAGCACCTAAAGTGCACCTTGCCTTGTGATAATTGCAAAATTTGGGCCAATTATCTGCGGTGGAGCATAACTCAATGAGCACGTTACTGCATTCTGCCCCTTGTAAGAGCACAGGGTCAAGCCTTTGCCAGCAGAGAATACCTCTGGAGTGGTGTTGGGAGGGAAAAGTAATAACAGCTCAGCAGTCTGAGCACAGTTGGCCTAAATTTGACTGCTGTCAGATCAGAGTTGGTCCCACTTCATCGCTCAGCCAGCGCTAGCATCTATTCCAGTCAGAGCTCCCTTTGACATCCAAATGTGACAGCAGAGCAAGGGGAGGAGAAAACCCTTTGTCCACTGGATGTTTTCTCTTACGAGGCTTATTTTTAAGGCATCTTTGGGTAAGGTTTTCCAACAGGGTGTATTTTGAAGGGCTGGAAAGGCTGTGCTTGGCACAGGCAACTGCTGTCTGAACAACTGCATCAAGAAAGTCAGTCCGTGTTGCCCGAGCACTGAGGTCTCCCATCTGTCTCCCAGCCCTCGTGCAGCAGGCTGACCCAGAAAAGCAGACGTGTAGAAATGCCCAGCCTCAGCTGGGTGCTTTTCATGAAGAAGAAAAAGATGTTTAACGGTGCTCAGCACTCGTAATTCTTTATTTTTAGCTTTTTTTCCCTCACTTTTTTTATTATTCTGAGTATTAGGCTCAGTTCCTGAAGAGCCGTTATTGCTGTGCCCAGGTGGTAAATTACTGTATTAATTAATTTCCCCTCACCAACAGCTTTTAAGAATAAGACAGAAAATCTCTAGGAACACACAGTGATAATCCTGCAAATGCCCCATTAGAAACTTAGTGAACTTTAAATGTGTGTATATGAATATACATTGTGAATGATTTGATCACCTCCAACGAATCTGAGTTTGACTCTGCTTGCGTGCTTGTATAGAACTGCTGCTGGTTTTCCTTGGCAAGACTGCTTTGTGGGCATCCAAACAGGGAAGCAGCAGAAAGGTGTGCTTGGATAGCAGCCACTATAATGAATGCTGGGAAAATAATGAGGTTTAAAGAAGGTGCACGCATGTACTGCTAAGGTTTTCCAAATTGGAAGGAAGCGCTTTGGCCTGTGCCCCTTCCTGCTATTGTGCTTAACTCTGTTTGGACTGCTTACAGCTCTGGCATTCAAATGCAGTTACTGTGTCATCATGCAAGTAGAAACTGGTGCCGAGTGGTTCCAGGGCTGTGCAGCATCCATCTGCAGGAGCAAAGCTCCCACTCTTACGTGCTCGAGTTCTAGGCAGGAGTGGAGAGCAGCCTGTGGTTTGTTTGCTCTCAGCTTTACACTGTTCTTGGACTAACCCTGCTCAGAACTGCAGTGGGTTGGCTAGGAGCGTGCTCTGCTTCTTCTGAGACAAAGAGTCGTGAACTGAGACCAAGATAAATATGCCAGGCCCTCTGTATGCAATCTCTTTGACCCGTACTTTGCTTTTTCTCCCGTAGTCCACGCAACAGCCATGTGCCAGAAACTGATGGAGGTGGTTCCGCAAGAATCGTAAGCAGGAAAAGCAGAGACGTTCAGCCTGAGGAAACGCACAATATTGTTTTAAGACGACACAAGGAGAAAAAACACTTCTGACCCTTCATCAACAAAACCTAAGCACTGGAGCACCCTGTCAGAACTTCATGTCTGACACGGTGCCGCCTGCTCTGCCTTGCCTCCTCCAGCCCTCCTGCTGCCGCCTGAGAAGTTCTCGGTACCAAGGTACCAACGTGGGCCAGGAAGAGGAATTCCTGCTGGCGACTTCTTGTGCATCCAGTCAGCCTCTGTGCGTGTGAGACTGAGGGCCGTACCTCAGTTCTGTGTGGGTTTAGTAAGACGAGCGATGAGCCTAACCAACCTGCCCTGCCTGGTCAAGGGGTGGATGAGGAGGAAGGGTTGTCTGAGGGCTTGGGTTGGTGCTGGCTCTCACGCACGTGCAAGCTCATGTCTAAATCTGTGCTACTGGTGCTTTGTATTCTGTGCAGGGAGTGCCACTGGTGGTGATGGATAGAGGTGAGACAAGGCAGAGCAGAACTAGTGTCAGAGAAATGAGAATGAGGACTTGGCTGTCTGGTCCCCGGCTGTAGTGTGGTTGTAGCTCTCGGCTCCAAACCGTCTCCTGCTGTTGAGCCAGATTGCTGGGATGCCCTTCTCAAAAATGCCCACCTTGAGCCCCGTTGTGATAGCGCTGGGATGGAGCAGGCCCTGTTGCTCCCAGTGAGCTCAGGGAACTGCAGGAGGTTGGTTCCTTAGCTTGCTCACCCTTGTTTTCATGTAGATGTCATCCACCGTGGGGTGAGCCCTGCTTTGCCCTGTCCTTACCCTTGGGGTGATCAGTGCATGCCCCTAAGCCAACTACAAAGATAAAATATGGGTGGGATTCTCCTGGTTTGTTCCCTGGGTTCTGCATGGGAGGTAGGACCAACTTGGCCTGGGGAGTAGGAGGGGGCACACACCCCAAATGGCTGGGGCCTGCTTTAATCCTGGTCTGCTGTTTTGCTCAAGGAAGCCAGGACTGGAGGCTTCTTGAAGAAGTGGCTTATATTGCCTCTGCACTCCAGGTGATAGTCAATTAGAAATCAAATGCATCTTTTCCCCACCAGTAAGCTGCACTTGTCTCTGTTACAATCTTCTTTGTGCTTGTGCTTCAGAAAATGGTTGTTGATTCTTTTTTTCTCTACCATACTTTTGTAAAGTAAGCTGTTTGGAAGCTGGTATCCTCCAAGAGCAATTGCTATCTACTGGATTCTCTCCTTTTAGCATAGAGTCATTTTGGAGAAGAGGCATTAAGGACACCAATGGTACTACTAGCTCATGCTTTGTCCTTTTAAGAAGCTCTTCAGCAAAAAAAGCATTTAAGCTTCTGTCCCAGCGTGTGTGGCAGTGACCACAGCTATGTCCCACATGTGTCTATGTGCAGCTCCTTGCTACTGCTTTGCCAGGTGTGCATCTTTGCTTTAAGGCAGGAGTAGGTGAGACAATCATCACGCTGAAACCTTTGTGGCCACGTGCTTATTCCGTGGCAATACAGTGCAGAGATACCCAGCCCAGCTCTGCTATGCTTCACATGTGTCAACACAGAGCTCTGCTCGAGCTGAGTTAACCTATGGAGAATTGCAGCTGGTTGGGGTATGTCTGCAGTGCAGAAGTACCCAAAGTTCTGGCCAGTGCATGGCTGTTCAGGGACCTACGTGCAATGAACTGGAGCATCTCAGAGCCAGCACCCATGGAGAGACATTTGCATAGATAAGGTCATGAGCTATACAAATCCTGAACTCAGTTTCCCCTCTTTGCAAGGAGTCCTCTTCCAGCTGAAGGCTGATGTTTTTGCAGGGTAGCGATGGGAGGTCGCTCCTTATGGCCTGCTTCAAGGGGAAAAACCTGTCTCTCCCCTTCCCCTTTGGTCTTGGCAGGTTTTGGCTGCAGCAGTCTCAGGACTGGTTTCCTGCAGGGCCTGGATTGAACCTAGGGACTCTCAGTGCTAATAATATAAACCAGCAGAATTAAGTCGAGTACTGATTTACAGCAGATTTAACTTGCATCACAAGACCAATCCACAGAGAGCTCAGAAATGGGTCCAAGTCTCCCAGACGTGTGGGGATTGCTTGGTTTGGGCATATCTCTTAATGAGTTTCATCAGTGATGAAGACCATCAACAAACGATATCCTCTTGGTGACCCTTTCACACTGGTTTTACAGAGGAGATGTCACACTGAGATTTATTTTTTTATTAACTGATCTTAATTAAAACCTTAACTCGCTCGCTTGCTTTTTGAGAACGTTGATTATTTTCTACTTGCTGCTAAGGATCTTTCTGTTGTGCTACTAAACCTGCTGCCTCTGGCATTGACATTGCACGTTGTGCGGTGACCTTGTTTCCACAGCAATAGAGGTATAGGGAGAAACCCAACCAGGCACCAGCACAAATTCACACAACTTTTGTATTGGACCAGCTCACATCTCAGCCCTCCCAAAGCCTGATTTCTTATATCCCTGGTTCATAGAGGCTGCTCATTCCCCACTGGTAGAGCTTGGTGGCATGGCTGGTAGAGAAGGCTTTTACACTAGAGATCTGGGAGGTGATAAATAAGGAGATAAGACCAAATTTCATTTCAACAAGAAAATGTGACTAAAGCCATTTCTCCAAGGGGTGAAAGCTGTAAGTGGCCGTGGCTCTGTAGTCGTGTCCCTGTGAGCATTACTGTGCAGTGACTGTTGTACAAAGCTGAGCCCTGAGCCTTGCTGCTCTTCATGAAGCTTGGCTGTGAGTTTTTGGAGTCCCTGCACTGTGGGTGTTATGGAACAACATCCCATGGGATTCAGAGGAGGCCACAGCCCATGGCTGTGCTTCAGGTTCCTCTTCCTGAGCACGAACCTGCTCTGATAAACAAACCATTGTGTTCCAGCAGTCCCATCTGTGCATAGCTGAGTTCAAAGGGGCTCCAGTGCTTGCACAAACTTTCAAGACCCGTTGGGTGGAAGCTGGTGCAGAATGGCTTTGTTCTGTGTGCTGAGCACCATGGGAAGAGCTGTGCGGTGCTGCTGGCCCTGCAGGAAGGTTTCCTCTGTCTGCTGCTGCCTGTGCCTTTAGCCATGGCCACAGTGCTCTCAGGCTTTAATAACAATCCAAAAGGAAGCAAACAACTGTGTGCTGTCCTTACACAACACGCTGGCTGTCTGGGTGGGACAGCAGCTTGTGCACAGCCTGGTTCCCAAAGACATCCAAAGGGAAGGCACAGAACGGCCAGACCCTGCTGGGATTTTGCCTTTGGAAGCTGCTGAAGCCACACTGCAGCTGGGGAAGGGCAGCCTGAGAGCTGTGCTGAGAGTCAGCACCTCCCCAGAGCCCTGCATTACAGTCCCATGTCTATCCGTGGTGTGCATGGGAGGTGGTCCTGTGATGGAGCTGCCACAGGGCTGTCCTTTGCTGCTTGCTTCAGAAGCAGCCGCAGCCTCATGGCTGGCTTTGCCCATGAGTGGGAAGTTTCTTCCCAGTTTACACAATCCAAACTGGAACTGGCAACGGGGTGGGGGCTGCACGCTGCTCAGGGTCTGCCGTAGCCCCTGGCGTGGCACAGCCCTCCTCCCAGCCGTGGCGGTTGGCGATGTCCCTTGGGTTAGGTCATCCCTAAGGAATCCATGTCCAGAGGATTTTTCTTTGCTTTGAGCTCCTTGCGTTACAAGGGGTGATGCTTCCCCCAGCTGCTGAGCGTCAACGAGAAAAGGAAGAAAAAAAATAAATATTTTTTTAAAATATTGAATTAATTCATGAAGTAGCCTAAAAGAGACTTTATATCTACATCGTAACTATTTCCATCGGTGACACCCGTCTCAGTGCAGGCTTCTGGCTGCCACGTGCCATGCGGTCCTGCACAGGGATGGCTTTCACACCCCAAGAGATGTCCCCATTTGTTCAGGGGACAGAGCGGGGCCCGTGTCCCCCCCCCAGAGCCCTGCAGAGAGGGACTGTGGTGGGACGTGGACCCGGTGCTGACCCGTGGAACAATGGTGAGAGTCACTGCTGGAGAATGAGCTGCCTTTTCCGAGCAACCTGTCTTCTGAAGTTCATATTTTTGTCCTTTATTTTTAAGCAGGAAAGAGTTATCTCGACCTCCAGAAAATCTACACACCTGTTTTACCTTTTTTGTTGCATTTGGTTGCTTTGCAAAAGAAAAGAAAAGAAAAAAATTACTAATTTAAATGTTGCTGTAGATGACGTTCTATTTATTTTTAAGGGGTAAATATCTTTTAAGTCTTAATACTTCTACAGTCGATGCTATTTACAGTGTCTGTGTCCCATTGGCACAGCAGTTCAGTGGCTGGCCGAGCTGCTCCGCCAATGGGAACACCATCAAACTGCCTTGTAAAACAAAATGTCTCCCACCATGTATTTTTTCTAGTATTTCTTGATTCTTTTATGTCGGTGGTTAACAAACCTGTTCCGTGTTCGGGTTGTTTTATGTTTTGGGTTGTCTGTTGGTTTTTTTTTTTTTGTTTGTTTGTTTTGTCGGTTGTTTTTTAACAAAGAAAGCTGAATTACAACTCTCCCGTTGCTGGTCTTTGCCTCCAACTCTTTTCCTTTCGCATAAGGTTCTGTTGTTGGTCCTGAGGTCCCTCTGCCCTTCCTGCTCTCACGCGCACATCCCTGTGTCTGGTTGGGCCTAACGCAGATGAAGGTGATGGGGAATGGGTGATGGGAGGCACACGGAAAGGTGGAGGTGTGAGGAGTGCCACTGTGGGCACCAACTATAGAATCATAGAATCACCAAGGTTGGAAAAGACCTCAAAGCTCATCCAGCCCAACCGTTCACCTATTCCCAATAGCTCCCACTAAACCCCGTCCCTCAACACAACATCCAGCCTTTCCTTGAACACCCCCAGGCTCGGTGACTCCACCACCTCCCTGTGCATCCATTCCAGTGCCTGACCACCCTTTCTGAAAAGTAATACTTCCTCATGTCCAGCCTGAATCTCCCCTGCCATAGCTTGAAACCATTCCCTGGTCCTATCAATAATGACATGAGAGATGAGGCCGACCCCCAGCTCACTACAACCTCCCTTCAGGAAGTTATAGAGAGCAATGAGGTCTCCCCTGAGCCTCCTCTTCTCCAGGCTGAACATTCCCAGCTCCTTCAGCCTCTCCTCATATGGCCTGTGTTCCAGACCCCTCATCACCTTTGTTGCCCTTTGGGAGAAGATGGGGCTGAGGTTTCTCATTCGACGCTCTTGCAGACACCAACAGGGAGAGGTGGGCACAGAATGAAGCTCCAAGCCCAGCAGTGCGTGAGGCTGCAGTGCTGCTGCACACATTGATAGGGGATTTATGCACTGCAGCCAGCTGGGTGGGGGTGGTTAGTGAGCTCCCAAGAGGCAGTCCTAGCTTCAGGAGTGAGTGTTGCATCTGCTGCAGAAAGTAATGCTTGGAGAGAGTGGTGGCAGTGCTGCATGGAGCCCTGCAGCCACCTTAGAGCAACCCCAGCTGCTGCAGCAACATTCTGCTTTATATGAAGTGAAGGAGGAAGTCAGGGTGCAGAAATGAGGGCATTTCAGGGCTGTTGTATGCAACCAGGGGCACTTGCTGTGTTAGAGGTGCTCAGTGGAGGTATTAATCTAAGGAGAACATCTCTAAAAGCCAGCGTGGGCAGGGAGCGGAATAGCGTGTGCCACCAGATTTATAAGAGATCACTCACAGAGTGACAGCTGTGGCCAAAGAAGGAAAACAGAAGAGAGAATAAACCCTGATAAGACTCAGCAAACATTGCATTCACAGTGCTGCCACCAGCATGAGAACGGGATGGGGCTGGAGCCTGCGGGAAGCTGGCTCTGGACAGGGCTGTGCAGACAGGGAAGGTGGCAGTGGAGAAATGACATGAGTTATTTGTGTTGTGTTCATTACAGCCTTGCTTAGAGACGTTCCCAAGCTGGAGCTTTGCAGGGAGTGTGTGCAAAGAGCTGTGCCAGATGAAGCGTGGTGCTTGGAAGCAAAGCTCCAGATCTGAGTTTGGAGACTTGGAAAGATCCTGGTAGGCAGGCAGGTCAATGCATGGCCCAGTGGTGATGTCCACGGTGTGGGAGGGGGCACACGGAGTGCTGGGGTGGGCAGAGGGTGCAGGGATGGCCTGGAGCAGTTGCAAGAAGCTGTGATAGGGAATACAGCGAGCAGAGACAGAGAGAAGAGCGTCCTGGGCAGAAAGACAGCCTTGGGATGGGGTCGGAGCTGACAGCTTCTGGTGACCTGTGTGAAATCCACAGTGGGCTGCAGTGAGGGATCTCACGTGAAACAAAAAGCAGAATTGCAGTGCTGCTCTGTGACGTTACTCTGTGCGTCCATCCCGAGCACAAAGCTGCCTCACTCATCCCAACACAAAGGCAGGAAAAGGTTTCAGCACACTGTGATGTTCATCACACGCTTGTGGGCAGAGGATGTTGGTGAGACCAGAAGTCTGCCCGCACCAAAGTTCAAAAGGAGAGAAGAAAAGGGGCTGTTGTGAAGCACAGCAGTGCTGAGGTCCACGTTCCCAGGGCTGGGAGGGCTGAGTGGGAATGGGGCTGAGCTGTGATGGGAGGAGAAGGCTGGGAATGCAGCCCTGGAGCACATCAGACATGGAGATCAACGTTTTCCCATTTCTCTCCCCAAAACCAAAGTGGTATGGAGATGCTGGGGGGTCTGCCACCGAGGATGGATGAAGCAGCATAGCAGTAACTCTGTGAGCTGGAGGCAAGCCTGGCAGAAAGCATTAACCCAGTCATTTATTTGAAGGTTTGTGTACAAGATGAAAGGTACCAAATAAATGTGTTTGCAGAGGGGAGGAGGCAGCCTGAGGGCAGGGTGTGATGCGCTGGGAGATGTTTCAAGGGCACAAATGGGAAGGAAAGAAAGGAACTGAGGAGGGGTTGTGGCTAGAGCCTCTGAGGGGGGTAAATTAACGTAGCAAAATGAGATCCAGGTGTGAGGAAAATTAACAGTACTGGCATTGACCAACTGCCCTGCAGCAAAGTAAAGAGGAGAACAAAATTGTCTTCTTAAAATTGAAGCAGTGGAAGTTCTGCTTTTTTTTTTTTAACAAAAAGGAGCCATGAGGAGCGGCCTCCATGTCCCCTAATGAAATAGAGGTGTCTCTCAGAAGGTTGGCAGCCTGGGCACTCCTCTGGCCATCCAGCACTGTGCTGTGCTCCTGCTGCTCTGCTCGCACTGTCATCACTCATCGCTTTGTCATCTTTTGGAGCACAGCACCAGCAGTGCCAGGGACATGCAGGAGGGGTAGAAATGCACTCG